ATCACAGAAAAAGTACCTAAGTTTTAGGGAGGAAGACTTAACTGTCATGAGAGAAGCACTGTGTATGGTGGGATAGAAACTTTGGTTGGGTGCTGATTGATCTCAGCTGCATCCTAAGGAATGTAAGTAGGCGGGAAGAATAGTATATAACACACAATGTTAGAAAGATCAGATCAGATCAATTTGGCTGCTGCTGGTGATCTCCAGATGCGCATCTGTTAATAAAGGTAATTATTAATTAAGTGCACTTTGGTATTTTGTGGTGTTTTGTGACTGAATATTCTTTCCATCATCTGAAACCCGATGAGGAAGTGGTTGACTTCCGACACTGGTAAACCCAGATATGGGCCTATATTTGAACTTAATAAGCTTACAAGTGCAGAATATAAGTATGCTATAAGATTTATTACAAAAAATGAACAAAAGCTGAGGTCTGACTCTATGGCTGAAAAACTCCTAAGAAATAATATGAAATCATTCTGGAAAGATGTTAAACATATTAACAGCAGTAGATTTTCTTTACCCCATACTATTGATGGAGTTTCTGGCCCGGATAAGATAGTTGAGCTCTAGCGACACCGCTACTGCCATCTATTTAATTGTGTCCCTAGTGAAACTTCCTCTATAGGGAGGGTTGACTTTGTTGATTTTATTAAAACATATGTGGTTTCTCAAGCAATAAGCAACTTGTCAGCAAATAAGTCAACTGGGATGGACTGCATTTCTGTAGAACATCTTAAGTATGCTAGTTTGAGGTTGGCACAGACGCTTCTAAAGCGTTTGACCGTGTGAATCATAGGAAGTTATTCCAGAAATTGTCTGACGCTCGAGTGCCTAAATATATTGTGAGATGCTTGTCTTATTGGTATGCCCAACAGACTATGCGTGTCAGATGGGGTAATTGTATATCTGCACCCTTTCAGACCTGTAATGGGGTAAGACAGGGTAGTCTGTTGTCCCCGATTTTGTTTAATTTTTATATGAATGGTCTCTCTAAGGAGCTAAATACGTATGTGTAAAACAGGATGTATGGTTGGAGGTGTAATTGTGAATCACTTAATGTATGCAGATGATCTGGTGATCTTTAGTCCCAGCTCAGCAGGTGTCCAGCAGCTCTTGAATTATGTTCTCTGTTTGGGGAGCTTCACGATGTCAAGTACAATTCTGCTAAGTGTTATTATGATATGCCACACAAAAGAGGACAGGTCCCTTGCATTCCCCTTTTTTAAGTTATCTGGTAACATTTTAACTGTGTGTAATGAAGTTAAGTACTTGGGTCATGTTATAAATGATTGTTTGTCTGATGATGGGGATATGTATCGGCAGTGCCGCATGTTGTATGCGCAAGCAAATGTGTTGGTTCGGAAATTTGGTTCGTGCTCGAATGGAGTAAAATTGACTTTGTTTAGAGCGTACTGTACCTCCCTGTACACTGCACATCTATGGTCTAATTATAAAGAAGGCAGTCTTAGGAAACTGACAGTGGCCTATAATGACGCCTTGAGGTTATTATTGAAAAAGCCTAGATAGATGAGTGCCAGTGAATTGTTTGTGTCATCTTGGATCAGTACACTATCTGCTGTTTTAAGGAATTTGATGTATAAATTTATTTGTCATTTGAATAGTTCTGGAAACTACATTGTTTTATTGCTGACTAATATTGCATATAGTGATATGCGATATACTTCAGTACTTTGGAAACACTGGTATACCTGCCTTTTAAAAGGGTAGTTGTTTATTGGTTCTTGTTGTTGTCCTTTTATTGTTATCTATTGCTGATTGTTCTGTGGTTTTATTGTATTTTTTAGTATTTATACATCTGGATCTTGAGTCTGTAATAAAATATCTATGTAAAAATAAATTTACATAAAAATAAAATGGTAAATAAAATTATGAATACAAAAATAATAAATAAAATGGTGAATTTCACATATTGCACATGGTGTAATTGTATATGGTCTCCTACTTAGTAGGGTAATGAGGAGTTATTGCACAGGTTTTCCACATTTCCGTATTTGCCATCAGTCTTACTGTGGCAGGGAAAAAGCTGTTGTGAAGTCTTGTTCTGTGTGTGATGATACTGTCCGCCCTGCTGTGCCTGAGGCTGTAGGTGCAGTTTTGTGTCTGAGTAGAGTGTGAGCTGGGTGGAGTGGATCTCTGATTATGTTCTCTGCCCTTTTATGACAGCACTGTGTGTACAGTGTGTCCATAGCAGGCAGTTCAGTCCCAGTGATCCTCTCTGCAGTCTTTACGACACAGAGCCTTCCTCTCTGCCTGTGTGGTGTTATCATACCAGACTGTGATGCCAGTGGTGAGGATGCTCTCTACCAGTCCTCTATAAGCCTGGGTGAGAGGGCGATGGTTCAGACCAGCTTTTCTGAGCCACCTGATAAAGTATAGCCACTGCTGGACTTTCTTCACTGTGGTAGCTGTGTTCAGTGATCAGGTCAGATGTCACCCTTTGGAGGTGGACACCCTCTCTACCTTTAAGATTAGATTTAAGACTTTCCTTTTTGATAAAGCTTATAGTTAGGGCTGGATCAGGTGACCCTGAGCCTTCCCTTAGTTATGCTGCTATAGGCCTAGATGGCTGGGGGGCCCCATGATGCTCTGAGTTTCTCTCCTCTCCTCTCCTCTCCTTTCTCCCTATGCTTCTATATGCCACCATTACACATCACTAACTGTGTGTCTCCTCTCTCCTGTAGTGTGTCCTCTCTCTCTCCCTGTACCTTTCTGTAGGTTGCTCTGGCTCTGGAGCTCTGTGTTTCTGATGAGCAGTCACCAGCCACATCGACCTGACCACTGTTTGATTGTTTGTTGCATCCTGTTGCTTTTCTTCTTTTCTCTCTGCTCTATCCACGCACCCCAACGCAGAAGGCTGCCCACCAAAAGCAGGGGTCTGTCGGAGGTTTCTTCCGTTAAAGGGAGTTTCTCCTCCCCACTGTCGCCAAGTGCTGCTCAGGGGGGATTTGTTGGGTTTCCCCTTTGTTATAATAGTGATAACAGGAAGGTCTAGACCTTACTTTGTAAAGTGTCCTGAGATGACTTTTGATGTCATTTCGCGCTATACAAATAAACTTTGATTTGATTTGAATGTGCAAACAAAGATGAGTTATATTCACTGAAAAATAATAGAGAGGTGACTTTATGGCAAAATGGCCACAGGAATGACCTGTCCATCAACAATTAGTGTCTGGATGAATGCTTATGTGATTGGTAGCATCTCTGAGCTAATCAAACAGTTAATTGGATATTTCTCCGTACCATCAAGTTAGGACGATAGTCATTGATAAGATCAGCCTCCACAAAGAATACATGACGTAGGTCATAACTTTGTTAGAGAGCAAATCTTATGGGGGGTAACGATGGAGATAGCAGAATGTAGCCTATTTTAAAAGAACCTGCTAATATAGCTAATACATACTGAATTTGCTAAACTACGTTAGCCAAGGAAGCTAGTTAGGTATGTTACATAAATAATGTTACAAATATAACTTAGGGTTTCCTTCAAATAACTCTAGGGTCAAGGCTGTGCCACACTGTGGTCCTGAGAACATTCAGTGCCTTGGAAATCATTTTATATCCTTGCTCTGATCTATGCCTTGTCACAGTTTGATCGCAAAGATCCACAGCCAGCTATTTGGATTTCATGGCTTGGCTTATGTCCTGACAGTGCAGTGTACTGTAAACTGTGGGCCCCAGGTGTGTGCCTTTCCAAACTATGTCCAGTCTGTTTACTTTGCAACAGGTGCACTCCAGTTTTAGGCTGAATAATTAAAACAAATAGAATGCACCTGACCAGAAATGTGAGTGTAACAGCAAAGGGTCTGAATACTATTGACAGTAAGAGATTTCAGTTTTGGATTGTAGTGGTTAAAACTAACAAGCTACAGATAATATGCAACATGTAATAGAATACAGTGAGAGTGTGTAGATTACATGTAGTTACTATATGCAGTAGTCAATAACTAATTTCTGCAAGCCCTCTGTACTATGTCAGCTCACTGTGTAAATAGTTTGTGTGTGCTGAAGCAAGAACATTTTGGGTTCATGGCCTGTTTGTTTAACCCATTGGGTCATCCTGATCTGGAGATGACCTGTTAAATAGATAGTCATTGATAAGATCAGCCTCCACAAAGAATACATGACGTAGGTCATAACTTTGTTAGAGAGCAAATCTTATGGGGGGTAACGATGGAGATAGCAGAATGTAGCCTATTTTAAAAGAACCTGCTAATATAGCTAATACATACTGAATTTGCTAAACTACATTAGCCAAAGAAGCTTAGTTAGGTGATGTTACATAAATAATGTTACAAATATAACTTAGGGTTCCCTTCAATTAATTCTAGGGTCAAGGCTGTGCCACACTGTGGTCCTGAGAACATTCAGTGCCTTGGAAATCATTTTATATCCTTGCTCTGATCTATGCCTTGTCACAGTTTGATCGCAAAGATCCACAGCCAGCTATTTGGATTTCATGGCTTGGCTTATGTCCTGACAGTGCAGTGTACTGTAAACTGTGGGCCCCAGGTGTGTGCCTTTCCAAACTATGTCCAGTCTGTTTACTTTGCAACAGGTGCACTCCAGTTTTAGGCTGAATAATTAAAACAAATAGAATGCACCTGAACAGACATGTGAGTGTCACAGCAAAGGGTCTGAATACTTTTGACAGTAAGAGATTTCAGTTTTGGATGTTTAATGAATTTTCAGGCATCTCTATGACCATGGTTTCACTTGGTCATTGTGGCTGATTAAGTGTAAAATGATGGGCAAAAATGGCAGTTGCATCCATTCAGAACTGAATCCAGAACACAGTAAGATGTGCAAAGACTAGAGGGGTCTAAATACTTTGAATCCACTGTATTTCAGTTTGTGTCAGATTGAAAATGAAAAAGTGACCAATGTCCTCTACTCTTAACAAGTTTATGAATAAAAAACATTACTTTTGCTTTTTCTCTCATCACATCAGTGACCTCTTCCTTCCTTTGTCCCTCCAGAACTACCACAGCAACATGTCTGTAAGGAGGAGGTGGTTCTGGCTGACCAGCAGCTCTGGAACCAGGAGAGGAACTCCAGTCTGGACCAAGAGGACCCAGAGCCTCCACAGATTAAAGAGCAACAGGAGGAACTCTGCAGCAGTCAGGAGGGAGAGCAGCTTGGACTGAAGCAGGAGACCAATCCCTTTATGTTGACTCCTACTTATGAGGAAAATGACCACAGTGAAGCAGAACCAACCAGTGACCAGCAGCTCCTCTCTCACAGCTCTGCTGTAGCTGAGAGCCAGGATCAGGAAGGAAGCCAACCTGGAGACTCAGGATCAGCTAGTAATGCAGAGCCAAAGCCAAAGAGGAAACGCCACAAAGACACAAGTCACAGTAGCAGTGTAGACACCTCTCCCCTGTCAGAGACTCACTCTGATCCTCCCACAGATAGAAAGTCTTTAAAGTGTGACACCTGTGGGAAAATGTTTAGGTATAAGTCCCATTTTAATAGACATCTTAGAAACCACAAAATGGAGAATCGGTATTGCTGTGAAATGTGTAAGAAAAATTTCAGATATAACAGTGTGTTTTTGATCCACATGAGGACTCACACAGGTGAGAGGGCATTTGTTTGCAAGACCTGTGGGAAAGGATTCAAGAAGTCATCAGCTTTGAAGGTTCATTTAACAACCCACATACGTGAGAGGCCATATTCTTGTAAAATGTGTGGGAACTCTTATATACAACGAATGAAATTGTTGAACCACATGAGAACCCACACAGGAGAGAGGCCATATTTTTGTAAAACATGGGAAAACGTTCGCACTAAAGAGCAGCTTGTCGATTCACCTAAGAACCCACACAGGTGAGAGTCCATATTCTATAAAACACGGGGGACGTGACAGTCCATAAAGTTGAAAAGGCGAATTCCTGTAGCACCTGTTGGAAAGGATTCTCTACAACAACGCACTTGAAAAAACACAAGTGTTTGCTTTTGACTGACATGAAGTTACCAGTAACACCACAGTAGTTCAGATTATAACTCCAGGGAACCCTTTCTACCTCCACTATCTACCAGTTCGCTGAAATGTGCATTGTGATGGAGTAATATTTGTAATTACATAATCAGCAATGTCTTAAGTTGAAACATGATGAGCTTCACAGTATGAAATGTTTACTGTTGGTGTCTTAATTCAGTTGGTATAATTAGGTTGTATTAACTTAGATGTGTTTACATAACCATTTACTTGTTTAATATTCCTTGATAATTTAAGTAAAATAAAAACTTTTTTCACTACCAACTCCTGTGTTCTACACTGTGTGCACAATTATTAGGCAAGTGAGTATTTTGACCATATCATCATTTTATCCATAATTTCCAACTCCAAGCAGTATAAACTTGAACGCTTATTGGACTTGAGGGAGAGCAGCTTGGACTGAAGCAGGAGACCGATCCCTTTATGTTGACTCCTACTTATGAGGAAAATGACCACAGTGAAGCAGAACCAACCAGTGACCAGCAGCTCCTCTCTCACAGCTCTGCTGTAGCTGAGAGCCAGGATCAGGAAGGAAGCCAACCTGGAGACTCAGGATCAGCTAGTAATGCAGAGCCAAAGCCAAAGAGGAAACGCCACAAAGACACAAGTCACAGTAGCAGTGTAGACACCTCTCCCCTGTCAGAGACTCACTCTGATCCTCCCACAGATAGAAAGTCTTTAAAGTGTGACACCTGTGGGAAAATGTTTAGGTATAAGTCCCATTTTAATAGACATCTTAGAAACCACAAAATGGAGAATCGGTATTGCTGTGAAATGTGTAAGAAAAATTTCAGATATAACAGTGTGTTTTTGATCCACATGAGGACTCACACAGGTGAGAGGGCATTTGTTTGCAAGACCTGTGGGAAAGGATTCAAAATGTTAGCACATTTGGATGTTCATTTGTGAACCCACACAGGTGAGAGGCCGTATGTTTGCAAGACGTGTGGGAAAGGATTCAAGAAGTCATCAGCTTTGAAGGTTCATTTAACAACCCACATACGTGAGAGGCCATATTCTTGTAAAATGTGTGGGAACTCTTATATACAACGAATGAAATTGTTGAACCACATGAGAACCCACACAGGAGAGAGGCCATATTTTTGTAAAACATGGGAAAACGTTCGCACTAAAGAGCAGCTTGTCGATTCACCTAAGAACCCACACAGGTGAGAGTCCATATTCTATAAAACACGGGGGACGTGACAGTCCATAAAGTTGAAAAGGCGAATTCCTGTAGCACCTGTTGGAAAGGATTCTCTACAACAACGCACTTGAAAAAACACAAGTGTTTGCTTTTGACTGACATGAAGTTACCAGTAACACCACAGTAGTTCAGATTATAACTCCAGGGAACCCTTTCTACCTCCACTATCTACCAGTTCGCTGAAATGTGCATTGTGATGGAGTAATATTTGTAATTACATAATCAGCAATGTCTTAAGTTGAAACATGATGAGCTTCACAGTATGAAATGTTTACTGTTGGTGTCTTAATTCAGTTGGTATAATTAGGTTGTATTAACTTAGATGTGTTTACATAACCATTTACTTGTTTAATATTCCTTGATAATTTAAGTAAAATAAAAACTTTTTTCACTACCAACTCCTGTGTTCTACACTGTGTGCACAATTATTAGGCAAGTGAGTATTTTGACCATATCATCATTTTATCCATAATTTCCAACTCCAAGCAGTATAAACTTGAACGCTTATTGGACTTAATGCATATCAGGTGATGTGTTTTAGTGTAACGAGGGAGGGTGTGGCCTAAGGAGATCAACACCCTATATCAAGGTGTGCATAATTATTAGGCAGAATGTTCTCCTCTGGAAAAATGGGCCAAAAAAGAGATTTAACTGACTCTGAAAAGTCAAAAATTGTAAAAAGT